TGCGGACTTTCAGTCATGTCTCTCTCTTTCTCATCAAAATATTGGAAGTTTCACCTATATTTAACATGGGAATAAGCATAACAGAAAGAGTTGTGTGTGCTTTGAAAAGAGATTCAGACTGCTGAGAGCCATTTCATGTAGTTAAGAGCCTGTCTGTACTGCAGTCTTGCATAAAGTTCTTTTCTTTGTGAATGACAAAACAAAACTCGATTTTATCCCAATTCTCAGATCACTTTTCATCAGGAGCGCAGGTGGAAAAGAAGGCAATTTCCTCACAAGTTCCATTAACAATCATCCTGACCTCCCGTGTCAACCATTTTCTGTCCTGAAACAGTGTCATGTTGTTCTGCTTTGTATTACATTGACCACGTACACAATGTAAAGTTATAGGAGTGACAACCAGAGCTGGGTAGATTACTTGTAATTTGGAATCGGTAACGGACTACAGTTTCTATGACAAAAATTGTAGTTAGTAACATAATCCATTACACATTTTAGGTAATGTATTCGGACAACTTTTTGATTACATTTAGATTACTTTTGACCTAAGTTGTTTATTATTACATTGATTTAAATAGGATAATCTTGTACCATATTGATATAAAAATACAAAGAGTAAGAAAATATATTAATTTGTGCATTAAACAAGATGTTACGTCAAGGTTTCCCAAACTGGGCTTCGTAAATGAACTGCAGGGGGTCGTGAGTTTAATGAAAAGCTAATAATTAATTAAATCATTAAAAAAAAAAGAAAAACAGAGAACCGTGAACATGCAAATGTGATACTCAATTTAAAATTATTTATTTAAAAATTTCAGGGTACTTCAAGTAAATATATTAGGTGAAAGATGTTCAGATGACAAAAAAGTTTCTTTTTGTGAGTGTCCACAAAACTGGAAGACCTTCTGAATGTAAGTGGTAGGCTATTTTAGAAAGGAACTTTTAAAAGATAAAAAAGAGGAATTAGGGAGAATCAATTTATTATTGCTATTATGTGAATAATATGTAATCTTTTAACCAATAAAAAAGTAACTGTAGTCTGATTACAAGTATTTTAAAATGAAATTTAATGTAATTACAAGTACTTAATTTTTGGATTCTGATTACGTAATCCAGATTACATGTAATCAGTTACTACCCAGCTCTGTTGATGACTGCGGTTTAAATACACGATGAGTTCTCCTAAATTATTGTTTCTTGTGTGTACGGATCAGAACTCACTTTCCAAACTGCGATGACTGACAGCATGGTAACCTAATTAATAGTGTTTTCACTATATTTTGGATATAAATATCCATTGCAGAATTGATGGCATACGGCTCGTTCACTGAATCGCTGGCCGTCTCAGTGATCAGCCGTAAAACAGTGATTCTGTCCAAATTCCCTTACATATTATTGGTGGAGTTCCCTTTAAAATCTTAAATGATTCCCTTTGAGCTAAATTGACCTGTTTCCCTTACAATAGCAACGTTCTGGCATCTTGCCATTTGTTATCTGCTATTTTTAATCAAAGTAATTTTACAGCGATCAAAGACTCGTTATGTTCGGTGATTTTAACTAAACCACCATAATGCATTAACAGAGCCATTGTGTTTTGTTTATGTTTGGAAGGCTGCTTTGCAGAGTGCACTCTTGAAGGGTTGCCATGTCCACTTACTATAAGTAACACTTATTAAGCGTCTTTAGGCTTGTTTGGGTTCGGCTCATTAAGCTATCCAGTTTATGGAGTTAATAAAGTAGGCAGGTGCAGGTCACTATTTTCTGGTATGTGGCTTATTTCCAAGATAACACATTTGGATTTAAGATTCGATTTCTTGCACCGCACATACAGAAAAGATACAAATCTGATATATGTTCAAATTCGTCATTAACAAGAAGTTGTTACTCCTGTGAATTACTAAAGTATGTGTGACTAGAACAGGATTAAGCACTAAAAGGTGAATTAACAACCAAATTGAGCTGTTCAACCTAACACAGTTGAAGTGTTTTAGCTTTGGCCCAAACCACAGGGGGCGCTATAGCAGGTATTAGCATAAACTCATATTCCTCCACACTCAGTTGTCCATTTCAGATTAACTACTCTCATAATGTACATAGCAACTGTTTGGACAGGCTTTACTATCTGTCTGGGTGACAGAATTCCCCCTCGGGGTTTAATAAAATATGTCTTTCTATTGAAACGAGATGTCCTGCAAGTCCCTGATGAAATTATGCTTGAAATATATATCCATTCAATTATTTCCACTGTGTATGTGTGTGAATAGGTAAAATATATGCAATTGAGAAAGTGTTATATCTTGTCTGCCTTTTATAATTAGAATTTAAATCATCCCAGTGATTTAATGTGAATTATTACGAAATGTTTCTGCAGTAACTTCGTTTGGTCCAGAAAATGAAAAGCTCTATCTTGTGTGATCATTTTCCTGGTTAATCAGCATCTGATTTCTACTTTATTCTGTTTTCAAGGAGAATCCAAACAGAGGCATCAGCGTGAGACCACATTTCTCTTTAATGTTCTGTAGAAACAGCTTTTGAGTCCGGTGGTGTTTCATAACAGACATAAAGTTTGAGTTATGAAAAAGGGAGGAAGAAAGATGAAGGACAGACCGAGGAATATGAGGAAGGTGTTAGTATGGTGCACTTGTATGTTCAAAATTGCAGTTTGTCGACAATGTACAAAGAAAAAGTACATGAATACAAAATAACTTCCTCCTTCCCTTGACAATGTCATACACATAGTCTTTTATCAATAAGTAACACATATTCTCAAACAAATAAATGTTCACATTGGATATGTCATAATATTCTCAGTTCACTTTAGTATAAAGGTAGAGAGTCTTTGAGGAGGGACAAGGTAGAGGCGGGGAAAGTGCTATAACCCCACCTGTCCAGAAGGGGGCTCTGTGACTTTTTCATTGACAATTTAACTCTCAGCTTTAGGATCCCAATACAGGCATGTGTTTGATGGCTCAACAGCAGCAGGGGTCAGAGATGGTGAGTGACAGACAAGTTTTTCTATGGCTTGCAAGGATTAATCTGGATTGCAAGGATTATTACCTCAGAACTTCCGTTGACTTTCTATATGGAGCTGATCAGCTTGTACTCCAAAAAAATCTGGATGAGAATTGGCATTTTTGGGCAATGGGTTCCCTCTGGAGTTTCTAAAGGGTTTTCTGATTTATAGAAAGTGGTTTCTAGAAAGAAAGAAAGTGGTTTCTGATTTATAAGTAAAATAAGGCCTATATATATATAATTGCTAACAAGCGGCTACATAAGGCCTACAGAGGTTGTTTGACCCACTGAGCATGTAAACTCACATACTTTTGATACCTGTAGTTGCACTCCTTATTTAGCAATTTATTTACAACGTATCGATAAAACAATCCATGATGTGGGTGTGACTCTGTAATTTATGTTCATATAACACGTCTTTTAACGTAATGATTTGGTACTTTAATATTAAGTTTAGTCCTTCTCATGTTGTTCCAAACCTATATGCATTTATTTTCTGTTCATTTTTGGGTGAACCATCCCAATAACATACAGTATTTACTATATATTATAGCATTTTTATTTATTCATATTTATTTACTTACATTAATGTTTCTCTGAATTTTTTTCTCAGAACTTTGCCTGCACACTCGCTTGTTGGCCCCTAGTCCCCAAACCCCAGTTTGGAAATAAATGGTCTAATAAATTACCCCTGTTACATTTAATGTGAAACTATAACATTTCTGTAATAAACCAAACTACTGTTACACAGTAATATATATACATACATTTGCACTTTACTTCATTAGTGCTATTTATAATGACAAGAAAATCTATCTATTTGAGATGTTTTTCTATTTTGGTTTAAATCAAAAATCGCTAAAAAACCCTTAAGAGCTTCCTGAGGGAACCTATGGAAAAATAAGCCTTTCAGGTTAGCCTCAATGTCTGTGACTGAACAGCTGTGTTTCTCCCTTTGTGAAATTTCCTGTTTTATTTTCCAAAACTGTGCCGTGTGCAGATATTAATGTAGTGTTGGTGTTGTTTACCTTCTAGGTTAGCACATTATTGCAGCTGAGCAACAGATAATGCATGATGCTTTTTGCATGAGCTCCACTTGACCTTTTCATGTTTCATGTAACTTTTGCCTTCTAGTTTTTATGCAAAATACTGTCTTAAGGGCACAATCAACGAATAACAACACACACAAACCCAAAGCCATCGCATAATCCTTCATAAACTCTACTTTTTCTTTACTGACCTCGCCAGCATAGCAGCTTTAGAACAGTAGAATTTGATTGCTAATTCACACTGTGACAGCAAACAGCAACTTTTGGTTTTGTTGGATCAACCCTGTTAGCGTTTGTTGGGGCTGTGTGAACCAGCTTTAAAAAAAAACAAAAAAAAACTCATAACTAACCCAATCGCTCTCGTGTGCTTGGCTTTTATTTTTATGTTGTCAGGTGCTAAAGGTGTTAACAACAACCCTCCCACAGAAACTGCTGAGATGCTAACAGGTTAGCGAAGCAGCCCCTTTGTACATTTGTGTAAATGGTGGGTTTATGTATTTCATTCACACTCTTTCCCCCCGCTGGGCTGCAGCCTGGTTGAAGGTTAAGATAGGGATTCGGAGGTTTTAATGGAGATGAGCTTGACCACAATGAGCTGCTAATTATTCTGCAGAGGTGTGATGTACAACTGAATGTAATTAACAAATGCAAATGGATTTTTTTTTTTGTTATTGAATATACCCTGGTCTAACAGGAGCAACAGGAAATGGTGATGATGGAGGAGTAGTCCATTTAGTGTCCCGTCTCTCCGTCTCTCGACCACAAATCCCAGAGTTTCTTCCCATCTCCGGTTTAATTCCAGGCCTGCAACTTCGCACAAGTCCTCTGTCCCTCGAAAGGGGCGCACTGTCATACACATGTACACACAAACGCACACACACACACACACACACACACACACACATTCGCACACTGAAGTGTAGGAGCCAGAGTAGACAGAGGGCAGAGTTGACAGAGTTGTTCCGTAAAACAATTAGTAGCGGTTTCCACGAGGCTCAGCGGAAAATAAGGGCAGTGAGACACACCAATAAGCAAAGAGTGATGATGAAACAAGGTGCCAAGAGGGACGCCGCCCTGCTGTTCACTCTTTGCACGCCACTAGGGGGACCCACCGAAGTCCGTGGGATGCATTTGTTCTTTCGTCTCGGTTTTGACGGGTCCGATTCCTTGTTGGCTAACTCCTTTAGGGTATACACCTCATTCTGAGCATTTCCCTTGCGGCTTCGATGCCTTGTGCAGTTCCTGTTGCGTCCCGATTTGGGTGGTCGAGGGAGCGGCGATGGGGAGGTGGGGTAGTATTGATCCTGATGTGGCAGGTGAGGATGATGATGATGATGATTGCGCGATCGATGATGATGATCTTTCTTCAGCGACACCCCCACGTCCCCCTGACTGGATTTGCTCTGGTGGAGCGACTCCGAGCCCGTACAGGAAGGCAGCTCTTCTTTCGTCAACCGTTTCAGATCCTTGCCCGCCAGCTCCGGTGGAGCCACGCATATTAACGAGGAGGTGGAGCCACGGAAGCGCCGCAGCCAATCCCAGAGTGGCACGGCCTTGCAGTCACACTCCCAAGGGTTGTCGTTGAGACGCAGGTACTCCAGCGCCGGCAGCTGAGCCAAGCTTTCGGCTGGAAGTTCAGGTAAGGAGTTGTTAAACAGGTAGAGAGTCGTCAGGCGGCGCAGGTCGTGGAAAGCTTGTTTGTGTATCCACTGGAGTCGGTTTTGATGGAGCAGTAAACGATCGAGGATGGTTAAATGACCATGGTGTTGGTGTGCTTGACTGGCCAGCAAACTCACCAGACCTGATTCTCTATGGGGTATTGTCAAGAGGAAAATGAGAAACAAGAGACCAAAAAATGCAGATGAGCTGAAGGCCACTGTCAAAGAAACCTGGGCTTCCATACCACCTCAGCAGTGCCACAAACTGATCACCTGCCACGCCGGATTGAGGCAGTAATTAAAGCAAAGGGAGTGAAATTTCCCTCATTAGGCTCATTACAGAGACAACGTGTTTAGAAGTTATTCTAATTTGTTGAGATAGTGAATTGGTGGGTTTTTGTTAAATGTGAGCCAAAATCATCACAATTAAAAGAACCAAAGATTTAAACTACTTCAGTCTGTGTGCATTGAATTTATTTAATACACGAGTTTCACAATTTGAGTTGAATTACTGAAATAAATTAACTTTTCCACGACATTCTAATTTATTGAGATGCACCTGTATATATAGGCACTTTCATGTCAAAAACATTTTGGATTATGTTTTAGTATTTGATCCTGTTACTGCGCTATGATCTTTTTCAGTTTAACCACAATATCCATAATCTTGAATATATGACTAGCCTTATGAAACCTCATGAAAGGTCAGAAACACTTAACCTTAAACATAAATCAAATTCCAAGAGTTGTGTGTCCGTAATGTTCTTTGCACCTGAAGAGTATGTTTCCTTTTTGACATTTTCATTAGAAAGAAATATTGTCTCTGGTCATCGTTTTAGTGCAGCACTTTTTGCTGCCAAGGCTGATACTGAATATTTGGAGCAGATCTTATCTGGATTTATTTTGCAAGTCAGATGATTCCTAAGCAACAGTCTTAAAAAAAAAATGATATCCATTCAAGAAGGGCATTTTTGCTTTCTTTAAAATGGTATTGTATCCAGTCAGATTTTCTAAAGTGTCAGCACAACCATTCCAAGCCAAGCGTCTAATAAATTCACACTCAATTTGGCTGAGGAGGACCTACATATGATATATTTACACAGCACGTCAGACCTAGCAGAACGGACACATTAATAACACTGAAAACTCAGGAATCATTAATCTTTTATATATGTTCTTTGTTACTATATGTACTATAGTAGCACATTATAAATAATGCCATCAGCTATTGCTTGTTATTGTTTTGCATGTACTGTATATGAGGGACACAAATGGCACCTGACCTGTTTGTCAAATCACCCAGATCTATTTTTCCAAATGTTGGCAAAACTTTGAGAATATAACACCCACCTGTAAATAGAGGTACTGCAGGTTGTGCAGCCCCTCAAACAAGCCAGCAGGCAGAGTGATTAGGCCACAGTGGTAGAGGTGCAGAGCATGGAGTCGGGTCAGGCCCTGAAAAGTGTCAGAAGCCAGAGAGCGGAGGTGTTTGTTGTCCCCCAGATCGAGCTCCTCCAGGCGGGTGAAGCCCATGAATGTGGAGGGCTGGATGTATGAGATATTGTTGGAGTAGAGCCAAAGCATGACTGTGGTGGGGCTGAAATGGCCCTGTAGCAGTCGCTGGATCTTGTTGTTTTGCAGAAAGACGCGCTCGCTCTGGGCCGGGATTTCCTCTGGAACCACCAGGAAGTTGTGAGCCTGGCAGCTCACCGTGCTGGGAGAGTCGTAGCAGATGCAGTGACGGGGACACGCCTGGGTCAACTCTAAACCACACAGCACCAGGAGAAACTCCAGACCACAGCCTACGGAAAGACAGGTAAGGAAAATGACATGTAATCATTGCAAGTTTCAATGGTAAAAAAAAATGCTTTGGAACGTTATGAATCCTCAGAGTGGTTTATGCTGGTTTGTGCTGTTCCAGCTGATGGACCTTCAGCAAATCTCAGCTGGTTGATTTTGCTATTTGAGATAAAGAAGGCTGATGGGGAGAGCAGCATTACAAAACACAACATGCTGGTACCAGCATACATTTTAAATTGTAGTAATATTTCACAATATTATTATAATATTATAATAATATAATACACAAATTATGTAAGTGAGGATAGCAAAATAAAGTAAACTGTAACATATTATACCCAAAAATTCTTCATACAGTGGACTACCAGTACAATTGATAAATTTGGGACCATAAATTATTCAGACACTTTGACCATGGCCATGTTTTGCTTAATTGTCATATGACATTATCATGAATTTGTTCTGACACAGTTTAACTCTGAGTTCGTGTCATATTTTATTACCATTTTCTAAACTATAGGGAATAAACTGTGATAATGAAATGTTGAAGGTGTCTGAATACATTTTGGTTTGACTGTAAATGCAGCCTTGGTGAGCATAAGAGTCTTCTTTCAAAAACATTAAAAAAAAATCATAATGATTCCAAACTTTTGACCAGTGTAGTATAATAACAAATGTGGCACAGTGATTATAAATTTCATTAAAAATGTCACTTTCAAGTCTGTTGACCCCTGGTCCAACTTTATATGTAATTGTACACCTTGCCAGTGAAAAGCAGCAGTACGAAAGGAAAAATAATCATAAAGAATGTAATGTTTATATCGATACAATTGAAATCCAGCCAAAAAGACATGAGAATGTGATATTTATATAGATGCGATCTCTGCCTCCATCCATAGCCATCTCTGAATATACCCGACCCACGAGGCTATACTTTAAAAGCGGAAAATCAATGTTAAAGGTTACAGAGGGAAAAAATGCATGTACACATGAGTTTTATTGTGTATGTGTGTGCATGCAACAGATCAGAATGAAAAGAAAGAACACGCATGTCTGAGGGAAGAAAGGAAAGAAATGAGAATAAATGATAAACCCATGAAGATGAGGTTGCGATGAAGGGCGCTGTTGTATAAGTGAACGTTAGTGGCTCAGCATTGATTCGCCTCTGATGTCGAATTGAAATGGAAATGAGAGAGGGGGGGTTTAGAGGTGCACCGCAGTGGGAAGAGTTTCGAGGAAGAGATGGAACGTGTGAATCATTTCGGATGCACAAGAATTAAAAGGATCAGTTCGCTAAGAGAAACGGAGAGAGATTGATATTGACAGAGACAGTGAACTTGTGCAGAGAGCTGAGTGATGTGGTGTAGCACAGGGTGTTCTGACACTGATATGAAACATTACCATGCTCTCACACATTCAGCAGCAGGAAGCGTGACAGGATACTGTTGCTTATAGCACGGGTAGTGTTAAAAAGACAGTTCACCCAAAAATGAAAATGTACTCATCCTCAAGTTGCTCCAAATCTGTGTGACATAATTTAGTTAAAGTGTTATAAGGCATAATCCAAACCAACCAGGTGTTTGAGGGAGTGAATCACAACATTACAAACTATGATTTGAAAATTGGACAAAATAGAAGACTGTGTACTTAACAGATTTAGTGAAGAAATCGTGAAAAATTTTACAAATATTTTAAGTGTTTTGATGGAGTAGGAAGACCGACTCTGATTGGTGGAATTTTCTGTACAGCATCATGGGTAACGTAGTTTTAAAATGTTGTTTCATAATGTTGTTTTTCACCTGGAATTCCACTGTTGAACACAGCTTTTAAAAATAAATTGAATTAATTTTCTTCCAAGTACCATACCATAAAAGTACCATAAAATCATCATAAAAGTGGTTAATATAATTTGAGCGCAATAATTAAAGTCTTCTGACGCCAAACAAAGTCGCTGACTCATAATCGTCTCCTCCAGTGGGCCATTAACCAGAGAACTCAAAAATTAGATCAGCGCTGTGAACTGGATTGACCAATTCATTGTGAGCAATCAAAAGAATGATTCATTCGGACGTCATTATCTGTTCTCTCATTAATGCATCAAGGAGAACTAGGGTGGATGTCAAGATTTTTAGTGAATAATGACATAATTTTGTTTATTAGTAATTAATTGTATAATTATTCCAAGTCTTCTGAATCCCTATAATTCGTAATGACCACATTTATGATACTTTTATGCTGTTTTTTTGTCATTTTTATAGCTTGAAAGCCTCAGTCACCCTTTATTGTAACTGCATGGAAAAGTGCAACCAACTTAATTGTTCATGATTGTCCTTTTGTGTTCAGCAGAAGAAAATAAGTCATACAACTCTGGAATGACATAAAGGTGAGTAAATGATGAATGTTTTAATTTTTGTGGGTGAACTATTCTTGTTTAGAAGCGCTAGAACCACTTAGAACAGTCGTCAGGTCATTATATTCCAAATACGTGCGTTTCGACATGCCTCGACATACACAATTGTGTTTATTTAAGATTACACTGATCTCGGTATACACACAATTGACGGATGACCTTTTCCAACCAAGCTTTGTTTCAAACAGCACCCGATGCCTAATACAGCATGAAATCGCACACAGCTTCGGATGACACGTGTAATCCTTTGCATTTAATGTTTGCATTTCTGTTTGACAGCGGGCTGACAGCGGACTTTTTCTCTCCCAAACATTCACTTTGCTTTATCTTTATTACAGCAGTCCAACAACGTCAACAAAATTACACTCTTTGGCCGGTGAAATGAAGTGTATTCTTCTGAAAATGAATGCTGAATACACAGCTCTATTGCTGGCGGTATGAATTGAATTTGTCTGATGGGGTTCCCTTTATTTGATTATGAAAATGGACTCAAGTCAAACAGCGTGTATTACCATGCTGTATTGCACGTGAATAACTCTTCTAGACAGTGTGTCTCTTTATCTCTTTCATTGCCATTCTATCTGCCTCATGTGCACGCACACACACACACACGCCACATAATGCACAGGAAGGGCCGGCAAGCATGAATGCAGTCGTTTAGGAGCTTTAGATTACTAATGCTTTAATAAAAGGCCAAAGCACGTCTTCTTTTTCCCCCAAAGCTGCACTTGCAAATGAAAATGTATTTGAGTATCAGTTCTGCAGGTTACAGAAAGGTTAAACAGGCCTGATTAAGGACCGCCTGACATCTTAGCACCTACTGGCGAGAACTAGCATCCATTAAATATTGGAAAGATTTCAAACAATTTTAATTTAACCCTTTGGGGAAAGATCATTATTTTACTTGTAAGATTGGACTGATTTTCTGACAGCTGGTAGTTTAGTGTGATTTGTGATGAAAATCACTTGATAATATCACCTGAACATTTTTAATCTGAATATTATTATATTTAAATTATATGTTAAATACACTGATTTTAAAAGTTTAGGGTAAGAAAGATTTTATTATTTTTTTTAAAGAAATTGAAAATTTTTATTTACTGTTCAACACTGATAATAAGAAATGTTTCTTGAGCACCAAATCAGCATATTAGAATGATTTCTGATCATGTGACACTGAAGACTAAAGTGAAGATTTAAACTTGCATTTTAAAATATATAAAAATAGATTTTTTTTAATTGTAGTATATATTACAGTATTATAAATTATACAATATTCAAACAAATGCAGCCTTGGTGAGCATTAAAGACTTTAAAAAATTAGCATACTTGGCCTGCTAGCTTAGCCTATATTCTATGCAAATGTTCTATTATGCCGTTTTTTATGTTTTAATTACACATTTTAATGTCTCAAACATATGTCAGTGTTTCCGAGCATGTTAAATACATCCATATTTCACATCGAATACCACTAATCCACCCTTTAATAACTCCATGAGTTCATTTATCCCTTGTTCTTTAATGATCATGTAACTCCCTTTCTCTCTCTCATGCCTTTTTGGCTGGATTTCAATTAGTTTCAAATCTTATCAGGATATTTTAACTGTCAGCACAGTTAATTATGTGATTGTGTGCACTTGTGTATTTGTTTATTGTCCGTTGACTTAAATATGCACATGACAAACCGCACACAAATCTTTAGCCCTTTTTATGTATCCATTGTCCTTTGTTCTCATTTTTCATTCTCTCCTCCATAATGACCCTCTTTGATTTTCTCTCTTATCACATAACAGAGGCTGCAGAAATCCCTCCACGTTCTGGGAGGCGGAGAAAAACCTTCCAGTCACCTCTCGCTCTGTTCCCATTCTCATTTTTCCCCCTCTGTCGCTCACATTTGGATTATAACTCTGGTAGATAACAAGTGCATTAAATATATTATAATGTCTCTTCTCATTAGAAAAGATCCAGCCACCGGGGCCCCTACCAGTTGGGCCCCAGCCATCAAAGTCACTGAGAATGTTTCCTTTTATTTCCACTGAGGACAGTCACAGCTAAAATATTGTGTTCATGTAAGCTCAGCAAGTAGGTTCATGTGGAGAAAGCTCAACGTGATTTAAACACATGTCAAGTTCTGCATTTTGAATGTCCCTTGCTTTGTTTTTGAGCCAATCTCCTATGTTGTAGTTGTCATAGGAATGTTGTAGTTACAGCTTTTAGCCAGCAGGGGTAAACTGGGCCATGCTAACCAGCCAAACCCTGACCTCTTGTTGCGGTTCCTTCTCAGTAATGATTACATAAACATCTCTGGACTCTGCCAGACCTGTCTAACATAATTGATTAAAGAATGAGAATGAGTTTTTGTCTGTGTGCCAGCACGTATTAATGTCTGTCAAAATGTCCATGTCCCTCCATTTAAAGCTGGACTATTTTTGTCTGTCTGTCTGACTCTATCTCTCACACACAGTCTATCTGAGCGACACGATAAAACAAGATCGCTCCTATTACAGTCAGCAGAACTGTGCAAAAGTGCATTATTGATTTTTGATGACTGACAGCTTTGTTGATTATAATGGGAGCGATTGAGTTTTGGCA